AGTCCAACAGGGCGGCTGTCGACTGCCTCCCGTCAACATTGAGGTGTTCTCAGGGGACTACGTCCGCTGGCCCACATTCCGGGATCTGTTCACTGCGGTCGTGATCAACAATCCTAGATTGTCTCCGGTAGAGGAGCTGTACTACCTCACCGAGAAGACCCGGGGCTTTCCGAAGGCCATCGTAGAGAGATCCCCCTCACTAATGACGGTTTCGAGTCCGCATGGTTGGCTCTCAGCAGCCGATATGAAAATAATCGGCTTCTGGTGACCAACCAAATTAACATCCTCTTCTTTTTGCCCCGCGTAACTTCCGAATGCAGTCGGGCCTTGAAGGATCTTCAAAGTACGATGCAAGGAGTACTAAATGCGCTAGCGGTCTCCAACGTCTGCACGGACAACTGGGATAGTCTGCTTGTGACCATCTGCGCTTCCAAATCGCCGAAGTTAAGCCGGGCGTTGTGGGAATCGTCCGTAACGGACAAAAAAGAGGTCCCGCCCTAGAAGGAAAGCGCTCACTCAGCGCTATCTGACGCTCGAGGCTATTGAGAGCGACCCTTCCACCTCACGAGGGGCTACGAATTCGCCACCCTCCAAAGGCGGCCAAAACCCACCCACCTCTCGAAACCACTCCAATCCATTCCGTTCGTAAGGCAGTCCGATGCCAAACAAGGTTCACTCTTTCAATACCCAAGTGAGTCCGAAGAAGCGAACGTGTGACCTCTGTTCCAAAGAGAATCACCCGATCCGAGTTTGTTAACGCTTTCTCAACATGTCCGCTGATGCACGTTCTAGCTGTATTAAGAAAAAGCATCTGTGCCTAAATTGCTTCGCAAGAGGTCATCAGCTTCGCGACTGCTCCAACAGCCACAATTGTTTCACTTGTGGGGCCAGGCATCACACGCTTCTGCATCGTGCCGCTCCTTCATCCGGCGTGACGGCTTCGTCATCCGCCCAAACCCCCAGCTCATCCGAATCTCAGCCCAACGTACAGAGCTATTTCGTCTCCAGCACAAGTACCGTTCTTACCGTTCTTACCGTTCTCCGTACCGCACGGCACTCATTAATATTTGCCACCTGGGGACCAATTTCTGTGCCCGCGCTCTGATTAACTCAGGCTCCGAGGCGACGTTCATCACTGAACGTCTCTTTAACATTATTAACCCGCCGCCTACAGGCCTGGCCTCAAGATCGAGACCATGGCACTCTTGGACGAGCTTCCAAACCTCCCGCTGGCAGACCCCTCCTTCCACCGAAGCTCGCAGATTGACGTGCTTTTAGGCGCTGACATCCTTCCTTCTATCCTGTTGAGCGGCTTCCGGTCTGACATTGGCTCGCTGCTGGGACAAGAGACCATCTTCGGCTGGGTCCTATCCGGTCCGGTATCAGCTGACTCGACTCGGACGGTTTCCGCCTTCACCACGAAGATCTCGTTAGATTCGGATGTCCGACTCGAGAAGCTTCTCACCAAATTCTGGGAGGTGGAGGACCTTCCGGGGAGACCGACGAGTGAGTCAGATTCTGTGTGCGAGGGAAACTTCCGCCAGACCACTAAACGAGCCCCCGATGGGAGATACATTGTTACTCTCCCTTTCAAATGTCCAGAAAATGTCTATCTAGTACATTCCAGATGCACGGCACAGACCCAGTTCCTTAGAAACGAGCAGCGTCTGCAGCGGAATTTGCCGTTCAAAGAGCAGTACGACGCCGTTATCCAAGAATATTTAGAGCTAGGCCACATAACAGCGGTTACACCCAGTCATGACTCCGGCCATTATCACCTTCCACATCACGCCGAGCTTAAACCCGACAGCCCCACAACCAAACTGCGCGTGGTCTTCAACATCCTGGAGAGCTACATGTACGTGGACGACGTGCTGGCTGGTGCTCACACTCAGTCGCAGGCAATTTCCGCCATTTCCGAATTACGCAAAGCACTCGACTCCGCAGGGTTTCCACTCCGAAAGTGGACAGCGAACCATAAGGGCGTACTGCGCGACATTCCGGTCGACCACCTACTCCGAGCTGACTTCCTAGAGCTTGAAGAAAGTATCATCGCTAAGACGTTGGGGATCCGATGGCAAGCCAGTGCCGATAAGTTCTTTTTTGCTCCTCCCGTATTAATTCAGCGGGAGACCTGTACGAAGCGCAATGTTCTATCTCAGATTGCGCAGCTGTTCGATCCAGCGGGATGGCTTGCCCCCTATGTCATCCAAACAAAAATGTTCATGCAGGAAAGAGAGTTGGTTAAGATAGTTAGGGTGGGATGACGTCCTACCTAGCGATCTATCGCAAACCTGGGAGACGTTCCTGAAGAGTTTTCCGGCCATCCAGGATATCCGCATTCCGTGGTGGTTGCACGTTTGTCCAATGGCCAAGGTGCAGAAACATGGCTTCTGTGACGCGTCTCAACGTGCCTATAGGGCAGCGATTTACATCCGAGATGAGCGACCGCAGGGCATTGTCTGTGCTCTTCTCACAGCTAAAACCCGCGTGGCCCCCGTGAAAACGGTTTCCTTGCCTCGACTCGAACTGTGCGGAGCCGTCCTTCTGACAGAGCTTTCCGAGGCCATCCTTCCTCAACTGCCACTAGACACCAGCTAAGTGTCCTTCTGGACCGATTCCACGATTGTGTTGGCCTGCCTGAACAGACCTGCATGCGATTGGACCACTTTCGTGGGCAATCGAGTAGCCAAAATCAGTCGAGTGGCCATGTCCGCGGGACTCAGTCCTTGAGACTGACCTGGAGAAGCGAGTCGTGCACGCGTGATCGCCTACGTTCGACGGTTCACCCAGCGAGTTAAAGGGCAGACGACTCATGTCTCCGAGGAGCTGAACGGAAAGGAGGTTGCTGCCGCTCTCCAAGCGGTCACCCTAACAACCCAACGCTTCCATTATGCTGGGGAGCATCGGGTCTTGGTAAACAAGCAGCCACTCCCGACTACGAGTTCTCTTCAGAATCTTAATCCGTTCCTTAACCAGAACGGAGTCATGCGGGCATGTGGCCGAATACAAGCCTCGGCGTCCATGTCCTACAACGAACGGCATCCAATCCTGTTGCCTGTTGGATGTCTCCTGGTTCGATTCACCCATCATATATCCCTACATGGTGGGAACCAGCTGGTCATCCGCCTTATACGGGCAAAATACTGGATCCCTAGACTACGTCACGTAGTGACGGCAGTGATCCATTCTTGTAAGGTTTGCGTCCTCCATCGTAAGCGACTCCAAACCCAACTAATAGGCGACCTTCCTGCCTCACGAGTCACATTCTCCAGGCCGTTCACATACACCGGAGTCGACTTCGCCGGCCCCTTCGACGTCAAAAGTTTCACAGGTCGCGCATGTCGCATCTCAAAGGGGTATGTGGGCGTGTTCGTCTGCTTTGCCACGAAGGCCATCCACTTAGAAGCCACGTCCGATTTATCCATCGACACCTTTCTAGCCGCCTTCGCTCGCTTCGTCGCGAGACAAGGTTGTCCTCATGAAGTTCAATCCGACAACGGCAGGAATTTGGTCGGCGCGTCCCGCTCTCTGGCTGTGGATCTTCTCGAGGCCATTCGCACTCGGACTTCTGCGGTGTACAGCCAGCAGGGGCTATCGTGGCGGTTTATCCTTCCCGGAGCCCCACATATCGGGGGCTTGTGGCAAGCGGGTGTGAAGAGTTTCAAGGCTCTGTTCCAACGGTCGATGTGTACAAATACACATTAGAGGAGTTCGCGACCTTACTTTCGAAAATTGAGGCATGTCTTAACTCGCGACCAATCTCTCCTATGTCTGAGGATCCAACGGATCCGTTCGCTTTGAGCCCAGGCCATTTCCTTATTGGTGGTCCGCTACTATCCGTGGCCGAGCCAGAAATACAAGCGAGCGCCTCCTCCATCCTAAACCGCTGGCAACATCTCAAGGCTCTCAACCAGCAATTCTGTTCGCGCTGGAAGACAGAGTACCTGCGAGAGTTGCATAAGCGTAACAAATGGCAGCATCCGACAAGAGACCTCGAGGTTGGAAACCTCGTGGTGATCAAGGAGGAGAACATCCCCGCTCAGGAATGGTATCTCGGCCGTGTACAGAACGCGTATCCTGGAGCCGATGATAAGGTCCGTGTGGTAGACCTACTCACGGCCCGCGGCCTTATCAAGAGACCGATCACGAAGGTGGTTCTGCTGCCTATGGAATTGGAGGTCGTTTCCACCTACTCTCACGTAGGCTACGATTCATAAGCCTCCGTCCTTTTGTTATGCTTAAATGCTTCCTTGACTCCTTTCTTTCATCCTAGTTTTTTCCGGAAGGCAGATATGGCCCCCAAAACTTCCTCACGGTCCAGATGCAGCCGCAGGTCGGATCGTACGCGGGCACGAGGTAATACATCCTTCCAATGCCGAGTGTGTCCAGGAGTACACCCATTGAGGAACTGCCAGAAATTTATCCGCTTCAGCGTCGAGAAGAGACTCCGAGAAGTCCTCCTACACAAATATTGTTCAAATTTCTTGGCCTGGGGGACTTCCGCTCCCGCCCACGCTCCCGCTCTCGCTGCCGACAGCCCTCGGCAACTTGAGCGCCACCGAGATGATTTTAATGCGCTTCTTCACCCCATGGTTTTCATGGTTTTTTTTTGGACAAAACACATAAAATCGACACAAATATTAGTAAGCTACATTTTTAAATACCTGGACAATCGTTTTCCATAACAATCCTTTTCACTTTTGTGGAAAATTTCGCCACAACAAGCAATCAAAGTTTTACAATTTTACACGCCAATTTCATACATAACATGTGGTACAATATCAGCTGACTTTAACAGCGCGCTAACAGAGTTGGGTTGCTCCACATATTAAAGTTAAATATTATTTTATCTAAATAGGGTGTGTAGAAATTGAAAATCAAAAAGATGTTAAGTTAAGTTAAAAAAACGGAGAAAAAAACCACTATGCACTGGCCACCTGTACATGGACGATGACCGATGAGCCGATTTTAAGCAATTCGAACAGAGTGACAGGTTTTTAACTTCCTTGGGACACAGAAATTAAGATAAATTTGTGAAGATGCTGCACGGCAAGCGGCTCGCGTATGACTGCGTCCGAGAACTCCCGAAGCCTTTTAGCAGAAGACGAATCAACCTTCTTGAGCCCAAGAATCTCCTTCATGTGTGCCTGGAAAACAAGTCGTTTATTATTAAAACGTTTGCTAAGTATGTCCAGAGCCACACGATAATTGGCACTGGAGAGCTCCAACGATCGAACCGAATCCCGGGCCGCATCCGAGAGACATGACCGAAGATGTTGGAGCTTCTCGATTTCACTGGGATCTGCATCCCCTTCGATGACCGAATTGAACATGGCAATAAAATCCGCATATTCCACATAGCCACCGGAGGAGCTAGGTAGCTTCAGCTCAGGAAGCCGCTGCTTGTGAGCCAAATTGATGGTATGACCTGCAGAGTTGTTTGGTAGGCTAGTGGAATGAGCAGCTACGCGTAAGTGACCTAATTTGAGAGCAGACAGCAGCTCGGCTTTCAAAGAAATGAAGGTTTCACGCAGCTCACTTCCAATATCATCTTCATCCAGTGATTCCAACTCATGATGGGACTTGTTGAACTCCTCACGCATTTCCGCCAACATATCACTTAGTCTGTCGAGTTTATTACACGAGCCCCAGCCGATCATGCAGAGACTGAACTTTACTCTTGTAAAGCCTCAGCCTTTTTTCCTCCATTGTTTTTGGCTCGTTTTTCATGCCAACCGGTGTAATGCAACGAAACAACGGAAAATGTGAGACCGCTTAAGCGACGGCGAACAGAACGGGAGCGAGAATAGAACACACGGAAAGTCAAGAACCGCGGTTGAAGCACTAAACTTGCACATCAACTGTTCTTATTTGCACATAATGTATTTGTTGGTAGTTAAGCAGCACAGCAACGAATATATTGTTCGCTTTTTATAGGATTTATAGGTTTAATAAAAATTTTAGTTAAATCACTTCGAGGTCACCAATGTTTGAGATGCCAAGCTTTTTTGGCACTTTTTGGCAACTCGATTCAAAACGTTATAACAATGATTAATTATACAGTCGGCTAGCCGTAGCCGATTGCTCGGCAGATGAAAGTACACAAGAGGGTTCGGTATGAAACGGTATGCGGCGAGAGATTAGCCTAGAAAGAACTTAGGCAGGTTCAGAGCGCCCTTTAACAGGGAGAGCGTAGCAGCACTACCGAACTCTGGAGACTACATAAGTTTAGGTTTTTAGATGCTCTTATACAAATAGGTACTGCTTCATTTAATATTATAAAATCGACGCTCAAATAGCCGCTGGCCCGAACATCACTTATTAATTTAGCGGATTGAAATGGGTGAAGGCCCCACTGTGCGGCGGTGTCTCGTCGCTGACGAACAGTCAAAGCCGTCGGGCAGCGAGGTCGCGTTTAGAGACGAGACTCTGTCTATGGGGCGTAGCAATAAACCTCGCCATAGAACAGATTTTTGGTCGCTCATAATCTTGTATAGTCTTTGCTCAAACGCAACCATTGACTTGTCATTTGCACGAATGATCTTGCATTTCTTCGCTAATCGGTTTGAATTCGGTTATTGTCACACCCCCCCATCGTTAAATGATAATGAGGAAAACAATCCTTGCTCAGAGCGTCTGTGCAACGACCACACTGTCTTAGGCGGGTACGCCCTATCATTTTATATTTATATATATTTTTTTTTATATATCTCTTTATGTTTCCCACTTCTCATATGAAAAATGCAGGGAAATTGGGCGATATGCGCAATCTTCTTTGCCAGTCCTACCGAAATCGCCCCCTTCCCGCATTAACCAACATATCCATCTTTTACGAATAGAGATACCAAAGGACAAAGAGAGAGAGCATCCGGCCGTCATCGGTTCCCATACCGATTCCGGCACTCACGTATAATTATGCAAAAAATATATTGTATGGGATAAATATCATACGATTACATACATATGCATGTGTGTATAATGTACAGTATACATATATGTACTGTGACTGAGGACCGGGTATTGTACCAACTCGTTTATTATATTTCCCACTAGTATTCTTAACAACATACATTTTCTTGAACATATATATTTATATTGATATACATGTACGAAATTAAAATCTATGTACTTTTTAATGCAAGTTTTTAGTTCTCCAGTTGTACAAGTCATCCACACGGCATTCTTCGTCACTTGAACTTGAATCCGAATGTACTGCCACGTTTTTGTTAAATTTGCGCTCTTTGTTAATTAGACTATTTTTCTGATCATTTATTTTTATAAATCGTTTCCAGTTGTCAATCTGTTCATCTATTTCTTTTAGTTGTCTTTTAATATTAATATTTTCTTGTTCTTCAGCTACTATAGTACTAGAAACGGTAGCAGCTATTTTAATTTCTCGCTGAAAGCGTATCCACTCTTCATCTTCGTTTTGATCAGCTTGGTGAAATTTATTCGACTTCTCTGAATCAAAAAATTTACCGGGTAATGTTTCAGCTATCCTAGAATCAGAATTTTCATTTTTTCGTACAGTCTTATCTTGGTAAGTGCTAAAATTTGTGCTGGAAAGTGACTGCTGAGATAATTTGTTAGCGGTAACATCCAATATTTTAGTCTTATTTTTCTTCGCTAAATCCAAATTTAATTTATGTTGTTTTGAGTTAACATGCACCTTCCAGACACTTGGTTTGATAACAATCCGGCATATTATGCAAGTTAAGATTCCTGATGCATCGTATGTATTAGTTTTTAGTTAAGAAAACCAAAAATGTATATCTTGAGAATTGAAATCAGTCTACCATAATATTGAAAAGTTCACCCAGTTCTCCGCTCAACTGACAAACTTTTTTTTTTTTGTTTTTTGTGATTTCAACGCCTGATGGCGTTAGCTGCAATAGCTGCACTACTTGTGTTGCCCTGAACAATTTTTTCAGGTCCAAATTTGAGGTTGGTTTAAATAAAAATTATTTATAAAAAGGGCACAAGCTCAATTGCACTGGTAATGGTGTCAAATTCATGTCAATGAATCATTAAGATTTGTTAAGTTGTATAAAAAGCCGTTTACTTTTTATTTCGGCGAGGAATGTGTTGCCGTTTTGAAAACGGAAAAGTCTTGCGTTTCACAAGTGCGGGAGCGCCTGACTTTTCGTTTTGAAAAGTAAATCACATTTTTTTTTTGTTAAGTTAAGTTGTGTTGTTGTCTGTTAAGAGATAGAGCACGTCTGGTTCATTTTTCTGTCTTTTCCGCGAGCAGACAGCATACAAAAAATCGTTGAGCACATTTTTCGAGCTCTGCTTATTACTGATCCGTGTGCCGAAACTAAAATAAATCACTATATGCCAGTCTGAACCAACGAGAAAAACAAACATTTTTTTTTAATTGTTAGTATAATTCTCTAATATATTATGGAAATCTCTCCGACCATAGTCTGCCATAGACCAACTGTCCAAAAATCAAGCCATCAAACCAGTCGTTCCAATAGAACGGAGTCCGTACTAGGGAATATGTACATATATGTACATGCATTTGTGTATTTTGGTAAAGGATATTTTGCCAGGGGGGAATCCACTTTGCCAAGTGGTTTTAATGAAACGCCTAGTTTTTTCTTGCTCCTGTTACTAATCATGTTACTCATGTTCGTTAAATTTTTGGTTATATTAATTAAAAAATAACTATTAATCAATTGAATTCATTTAGATGGTCTACGCCAACAGATATTAAAAATATCGATCACACTATCGATGCCACTTTGGATAGTCATATTCCATACAACACTTCAATTCGTTTTTATAACATACTGATCGTAAAGTGTCGTGGAACACAATTTATGTACATATATATGTATTTATGTTATTTCACAATAGCCTTTTCCCACACAGCACATCCATGAAGAACGTTGAGAATTTTTGAGAGATGTGAAACTCCGATTCCCACTGGCACCATCCACCATCCATGAAATATAGCTGATGCACACAATTTGGTGCGGACGAAAATTGTTTTCTTTTATAATTTAAATGAATATTAATTATATTGCAATGGTTGTGAATTTGATTCAGCACCAAAATATATTCTTGCACAATCTAATCATGCTGGACATGGATGATTATAATAATGTGGTCAACATTGACGAGGAGAATTTATTGAAATGGAAACACTGAAGCGTGGTCATTTGTGACTGCTTCTACTAAATCCAATCAATGTTTTAAATACAAACATATTTTCAAGAAGCAGTTTGGGACATTTTGGGAGAAAGATGTACCCGAAAACAACGAGGCGTTTTTTAAGGAAAGTTTTGTGTAGCCATAGTATGGTATACTTTGGGTTCTTTTTTTGAGTACAGAACAGTCGGAAGGCTGTCAGCAAACAGCGTGTGCAATATTTTGCTTGAGTTTTGCAGAGCATTCATAAAAGAATTCCCAGTCCACAAACCGAGTTTTTCTGCCTAAGAAAATTCTGACATTACAGATGTTTTGTTGTTGTTTTTACCATTTTCCTGTCTGTCATTCTTTACATTTTCGTAGTGAATTCCGAATTTTGTTGTGAATTATCAAAAAAATACCGCACAGAAACGTGCGAATTAGGAACATCCTTTGTTCGCACCGGCCCGGGGGGCCCCCCCCCCCCCCCCCTGCGCGCAAATGGTCGTGGGCAACCAGCCGGGGCGGGGTGGAGTACCGGGTTGGGGAACCTGCCGGGGTGTGGCGGGGCCACCATAGGGGTTGGGGGGACGGGCGTGGGGGCGGTTGGACCGCGGGGCTCGGGGCCAAACGCCGGCTGCCCCGGGACCCTCACGGGCCAAAGGTGTTTTTCGGAGTGTCGCAATATCCGGGCCGGCACCCGGCGTGGGGCCTCCGGTTGGATCCCGTATAGTATAAACCCCGGGGTTTTGTTTCCGTCTGTTCTTCGTGGCGGAACCCGCCCGGTGGTGGCTGGGATTTCGGAACGGCAACCCCCGGGGGGGGGCCCCAGTGTGAAAAGGCTATTACTGACCATCCCCGAAATGGATGGTGGATGGTGGCATGTGGGAATAGGCTATAAGGGAAATTTGTCCAGGGCACTATGGGAAAAAGTCGAAGATTTTTTTATTAATATCATTTTTTTTGTGATATCTCTTTTAATGCTGTTTTTATTTTTCGATTCCTTATAGCCTTTTTACACTGGCGACTAACCAACACCCACCATCTATTTCTGTGATGGTCCGTACGGGTCTTACGTTCTGAAGAGTTCCCAGTTATTCCACCATCCATTTGGGATATTCTAAACTCGCACGTATCTCTGCGTAATTTTTTGATTATTTTTAAATGCAAACATAAATATTTGACATATACAACGAAAAACGGAATTCACTACGAAAATGTAAACAATGACAGACAGGAAAATGAGAAAAGCCACAAAAGACAGTCCATCAGATGTTACCCTTTTTTTCTTTTAGAATAAATAAAACTTGAAAAAAAAATCTTTATATGTAATATGATTAATGGATATTTGCATTGGCTTCTTATTCCTATGCATTATAATTTAACAGCCATTAAAAAAACATCAAGCGGGACGTTGAAGTGATCTGCTGAATTGTAAAATATTTTGATTAATATTTGGCAGGTGAGTATTTTGGGTTTGCAGGGACCTCGGAAGATTTAAGTCAACTATCGATAGGACACTCATATCAGTGTTATTAGGCTTTAATAAAAACAATAAATTATAATATCTATATAATTGTCCTTCATATAGCTGTCTTAATTAGATTCATTTGATTTCTTGTTCTTATTTTGAGACGTTTACGTTTGTGTTTGTTAGAGCACCTGACTGAATTCACCCATCAACTTGTTTGGTTTTGATTTTTTGCTCTTAAGCCTAGTACTCAGATGGAAAAGAACACCTAGTGAATCAGGGTTGATATTCGTATGAAACCGATAAGAAATTTTTTACGGCATAAACTGTTTTCTAGGCTCTGTTTGGAAGGCAGTACTCAGATCAAAAAACAAAAAGGTATATACTGGAAAAGTATCCGAAGTATATGCTTGTTTTTTTGGTATGTTTCGACCCACCTCGAAAAAGATATCAATTTGATATAAATTGCCAGCAAACACCATTCAAACACGAGGCAAACATTGCAATAAGAGAACAAAAAACCAAATGAAATATTTTAATAATGAAGAAAAATAGAGTCTAGTTAATGCAGTATTATATGAATGACCATTATATGGATATTATAATTTATTAGTTATATAAATTTTCATAAATATAAAACAAATATAGTTTTCAAAACATTTTTTCTTCACGGTGTCCGGCACGGGAGGCGTCGCCATCTGCTGCTGCTGATAGTCAGACACATTACCTTGCCAATAAAATATTGGGGAGCCCAGGATATGGCTGGGGAAGAGCAACCCCAGCCGAAGAAGTGCATTTTATTAACTTTAAACAAAACCAAGCAGCTGTCTGAGCAGTGTAACCGTTCGGAATGCAGTGCACACCTCTGGTCACACTGGCTGCTCGAAGAATATATGACATGTGTTTGCTGGCAAACAGTTTTTCGATCTGAGTACTAGGCTTTCCGTACAGACCCTAGAAAACAGTTTGTGCCCGAAAAAATTTCTGATCGGTTTCATACGAATATCAACCCTGATTCCGTTTGCGAGCTGTTTTTTCGGATCTGAATACTAGTCTTAAAGTAATAGTCTGCTTACACTGCCGCAACATTGTGGAAGGTGCGCAAAAATGATGCGAGGCGTTTACACCAAATCCGCACCTTTTTTCTCATACTGAGCCTTTAGTGTATTGTTTGACCTTTTTGCGACAAAACAGCTTTTTAGCCCAAAATTCGATACTTTCGATCCCGAATAATTTTTGTTGTAAGTTAGTGGTGATAGTTGCCAGGGATGCGCCGGACGATTTAATATGACCGCAAAATTGAGCAAAATCTATCCACAGGGCTATTATGGGCATCATTGTCACATGCCATTAACGGAAAATTACGCAATATTTTGCCACCACTAGGGCTATTAGGTTTTTAACCTATAGTAAGAATCAATGGTAAATGCTTTCGCCCGTCATGCCCCCGGAAATTTAAATGCAGATGCATGAGCCTAACCAGCGCTGCTAAGGGGCCAAGACGCTTTAAAAAGTTATATTTTAGAAAATATTGATGAAAACTATCTCACTGAAAGCCAATCGATTGCCATTTCAAAGAGAGTGACCACTTTATTGCCTATGTAAACAACCACTTACCGAAATGCAATCGCATTTTTGAGCGATTCAAATAAAATAACAATAAATCAATAAATTATATTTTTTTAAGCTCAAGCTTTTGTTTAAGTATTTTTATCATAATTAATGATGTAAACCAATTTTGTATAATAAATACGAAAAAAATTAGTTTTTGTTAGAATGAGGGCTCCGATGATCCTATTGGGCTTTGTGGTGGTTCAGAGGGGGCCTAGCTGAGGCCACCGGACGGGTCGCAGGTTGCCGACGGCCTACCCCGGTGGTTAGGTCAGCTGTGAATAAGCGGGCATACCTAAGAGAAGCAACTAAGTTGGCTCTGAGGGAGAGTACCGAAACAAGCAGTCCCGGACAGCCAGCGGGTGTTCGCGAAGTAGCAACACTGACTCAGCGCTTGTGGTGCCGCATCTCATTAAGTAGCTCATACACTTCCATCCCTACACAATACCTACCCACATCCCAACCCCAACATTCACCTCACATCGGGACGGTCTAAGGTGTCATTCGACCCGTGCCAAGAGTCAGCCTGGCTGGGGGCCCGGTATAAAAACTAGCGAACGAAGAGCTCAGGGACTTGGCAGCCCCCTGTTCTAATGAAGCCTTACCCGGGCAACGTGGATCTCTGCCCGGGCTGACCCTTCTCTGCATCTCGTGGGAAAATTATGGATAACACCACAAAAAACCACAAAAAACTTTAAAAAAATCAAATGAGACTGGCAAAATGCTAGCACGGAAACCAGCCCATCAGCCGACTGGCTGAAGAAGGTGGAGTGGGCCTCGGCGGAGCTACCCAATTTTAGTGTGGAGCCACAGAAGGTGTCCCTACAACCAAAGAGGCAGCGCACGCAATAGACGCCTGGACCGGCTGCAAAACGTTTCAGAGAATGCTGCAGACTGCCAAGGAAAGGACGCTGATAGGCCGTCTTGAAAACAGCAGCGCGGAGGGAAAAATACCTAGAAGCCAATGGAAGTGGGTGGAAGCGGCACTGGCCGACCGCTGTCTCGAGCTTCTCGAAAAGGAACCCGGGCCACCTCCAGTCTGCAAAGACATGGGGGTGCCAGCTACCTCTAAGGAGCCCGAACGGATCCTCAAAATATTGCAGAGATGTAACCCAGCACTGGAAGGTAGTCAAAGTTGAGGCAACGAAAGGCCCCACAAACCAGGCGGTGCTTGTCCTCAATAAGGAATCGCTAGCCCCGATCGAGGCAGCCAAGGGAGAGCTCAACTTTGGGTTCAGCTTGGTGACCAAGAAGGTCTACAAGTCCGATGCAGTGGCCAAGGAGCGTCCTGTCGACAACCCAGTTTAGCAGGACGTTGCCTCGGAGATCGAGGCACCCGACGTAGAACTGGAGCTGACCCAGGAGAGCTACTTCTCGGAGACGGAGCTGAATCTCGACTTTGAGGCGCTATGTCGTGACGAGATTCTCGACGACTCCGACGCCGACATTGCAGTGGTGGAGAATAGCCCTAATGAAGTCTCTGAGGATTCTGCAGATAAATTTCCACCACTGTAAGGCAGCATCTAATACTTCGCTTGGACGTGAGCGGAGTGGAGATAGTCCCAATTCAGGAGCCTTGGGCGGCGGCTAGCCTAGCGCTGCAGGGGACACACCTAAACCTGGTATCGTCCTACATGGCTCACGAGGAGAGTGATCTTCCCAGTGACCTCGTTCGCAAGATAGCCAGCGACACCGAGTGGTCGGACACAGGCCTCATAATAGGCTGCGATGCCAACGCTCACCACACCCAATGGGGGAGATCGGATACAAATGTTAGGGGTGAGTCACTTTTCGGGTTCATCATAAACTCCAACCTAGTTATTGGTAATCGGGGTAATGACCCCACATTCATTATAAAAAACCGTCAAGAGGTTATTGACCTCACTCTTTTGTCTCACAAACTGTCAGACATTATGCAGAGTTGGAGAGTCTTAGAGGACCACTCCTTCTCCGACCACAGGTACATCGAGACAGTCCTATCGCTCGAAAGCGCCAAACCTACTAACTATATTAACCCCAGGAAAGCCAACTGGGATATATATAGTGCAAAAATGGAGGACCGGGGGGTGGATCGTCACATGGTGATGCTCATTGATCAATTGCTTACATGCAGGACGGTGACTTCATCAATGGGATCGTCCACTCAGTCAACGTATTTCAACAGAGGCACTCCGCAATGTGCTGTCCTGTCACCTTTTCTGTGCGACCTGGATTGGGGGGGCTGTAAAGTGGTGGCATTCGTGGATGACGTTGGCATAATCTTCTCCGGAAATATTCTTCAAACACTTTGCCTTCTAATGACCGCAAAGCCGCGTGGCTGTCGGAATGGACAAAGTCACGCGGACTAGGGTTAATAATTCTTAAACGGAACCTGTGTTGTTCATAACCAAATACAAAATCCCGCCTCTAAACCCCCCAATACTAAACGGATGCATGCTCTCCTTCAGTGACAATGCCAGTTACTTAGGGTTGGTAATTGACAAGAAGCTTAGGTGGAACCTGAACATCAAAGATAGAGTTAAGAAGGCCACGATAGCCCTCTACACTTGCAAAAAAGGCCATTGGATTGAAATGGGGCATGGTCCAATGGATATATCTAGTAATAATTACACCAATATTACTATACGCAGTTGCAGTGTGGTGGCCTGTCCTATCAAAAAGAACCATCACTAAACAACTGGGCAGGGTACAACGAACTGCCATGGAGCTCAGTGGAGCTCTACGCACCACACCAAATGACCCGCTAAATGCTATCTTATGCCTCCAGAGCCTTGACCTTGTAGGCACGGAGCAGGCAGAAATGGCAGCAATACGTCTGAGGGACTCCGACCAATGGATGTCACAGCACACCGGTCACGCATTTATCCTAAACGGAAACAATATCGTCCCCACAAAAACGGACTACTGCGTTCCGAGGGAGTAAATAGATACTCCTTTTCAAATAATTATCACTCACAGAGACGACTGGCTCGAGGGAGCACTTGGCCCAGACGGGGCCATACAAATCTTCACAGATGGCTCGAAACTGGACAACAAGGTCGGAGGGGGAATCTACTCCGAACAGCTAAATATAAAGCACTGTTTCAGGCTCCCAGATCACTGCAGTGTCTTCCAAGCGGAAGTCATGGCGATTAAGGAAGCTTTGAGTTGCCTCCATGAAATTTCCACTACGGCAACTAGTTTAAACATCTACAGTGAGAGCCAAGCTGCGGTCAAATCGCTAAATGCGATAGCATCGAGCTCGGCTACCGTGGCAAACTGTCGCAAATCTCTCCACGAGATGGCTCATCAGTTTGTTATTAGCCTAATATGGGTCCCAGGCCACCAGGACATTGAAGTCAACTGCATAGCAGATGAGCTGGCCAGAACTGGTACAACAATCCTCCTTCTCCACGATAAGGAGGATATTCGTATGCCAATGTCCACTTGTAAGCACATAATAAAAGAGCACTTTTAGCTACTAATAGACAATAGATGGCAAACTGTTCCACAATATCGCATAACTCGGCAAACATGGCCTAGTATCACAAGAAAGGGTACCGCTGTCATACGTTCCCTCACGGGACATTGGCTAATAGGCACCTATGCAAACAGTCTGGGTGCCCGCTACAACGACTTCTGTCGTAGTTGCAGAGATGAGGACGAGGAGAAAACGGTGGAACGTCTGTCCGTCTCTCAGTAGAAGGAGACTTCAATACTTGGACTCACCATTCATAAATGACATTTCGGATATGTCTATAATGAGTCCCAGAAGGATCGCAAACTTCCTAAGGGCATCTGGATGGGACAATTGCTGACATAGTGTCTCATAAGGGAAGAGGACATGATCTATGCGGTATCACAATGGGCCGAAACCAGCCTAAGTGTGTCGGGTTCCTGGCGATCCTGACAGCCGCCTCAACCTAACCTAACCTAGTATGAGGGCAGAAAGAAGGCGTGATCCATTCTAGTCTATTTGAACGAGCATTTGTGCAAATTTGTAGAGGTCTAGCTTATTTTTAGAATAAATGCCAAAACTTGTTTACCATAGTGCAGGGGTGAATTCAAATGTGTTATACATGTAAAAACATATAGAATACAAGCGATTCGGAAGAACTTCAGTTTTCCTAATATTGATTACACTAGTCAACACTAGAATTAGGCTGTGGCCCAAAATTTAGATTCTTATAGATTTCGGGGTTTAAAAATTTTTAACGAATTTTTTTTCAGAGGTAGTGCTTCTATTTTTCACATAACTTGAGTATCTTATATTTGGTTACAAAGAACTTTGCAGTTCTGAAAAGCTGACAAACGCAGCTATAAATCCGACCCAGATTCTTTGTATCTACAGCTTAGCGCCTGGAAGATATTAAGCTTTCAAATTCAAATATCATCATTTTTTGCGGTATTTTTTTTTTGAAATTTTGACTTTAAACTCTCGGGAAAAGTCGAAAAAAAATATTTCTTGGCATGCAATTTTAGTTTTAGATAGACGTATTAATTAGTCATAATTTAAGGTAATGTTTAATGATGAAATTTGAATTTGAAAGCTTAATATCTTCCCGGCGTTAAGCTGCAGATACAAAGAGTTTGGGTTGGATTTATAGCTGCATTTGTCAGCTTTTCAGAACTGCAAAGTTCTATATAACCAGATATAAGACAATAAGTTATGTGAAAAATAGAAACAAGACCTCTGAAAAAAACCATGAAAAAAGATACCAGATTTTGGCCTGGTCGACCTCAACGGAATTCGTCCAGGACCCCCCAAGAGTCAGAAATATTTTTCTGCCAAACATAGCAAAATCACCGAAGTGTCGCTTGAGGAGAACAAAGAGCGAAGATACACTGATATAAATTCAATCAGAATGTTTTTTATCTTCATATTAATTAATATAAAGCGTAATGGTTTGATATATTAATGAATATGTGTTGGATTAATATTTTCCTGGTCGCGTCTTTCCTTGCTTGGATAGCCATTTTGACATGGGTACAATGTCAGTCTTGTGAGTCTTTGGTGCTTTTTTTTATCGCAGATTTTGGAACCGAATAATCCGCAAAAATATTGTAAAACTAGTTTTGTGGTATCTAATATATATTTTAGTTAAATATTAGACAACCAGGCAGGGACCGGTTTTCACATTCACTTTATTTTTCAGCAAAAAGTACTTTACTGCTGTTATACCAACGCGTTAGTGCCAGCTCATACAAAAAGGCTTCCGTTATGTTTAACAGACATTTATCGATAATAAAATCGGGCTCCCACAGCTGTTCGGAGGACATCAAAATTTATTGTTGTCCAGACCAATTTTTTCAGAACTTTTTTTTGAAGAATTTTTGATGGGTTTATTATCTTTTCAAAATAACAAAGTTCTTTACAACCAGACGTAAGATACTAGAATTATGTGAAAAAAAGAAGCGCTACCTTTGAAAAAAGCTTTACAAAAAAATATCACAAATCAAAAATTCTTCAAAAATAAGAAAAAAATAGAAAAAAAACATAATTCTTAAAAAAAATTTAAAGTAAATTTAAGAAAAAATTGGTTTTGTTCCTTGAGGATAAATCGTGTCGACTAGTGTAATCGGAGTGTCTCTATTAATGTAAGGCAAGAGGAACGTGCAGAAGTAAATTAATTATATGCCCGTTTTGCACAATAAGCAGAATCGCTCTGCTTTTGCAATAGCTTAGTAACCTACCAAGATCTTAGCTGCTTGTTGATATCGTTTCATTGTCTTTCGTATGCCAGCATTGGAATGCATTGAAGTTTCAGTCGGAAACCCCCGGCACGTGCTGTGCTGGTGGAAAGGTAAAATTGCCGTTTTGACTCATCCGCCAGAGCCATTGTATTGGGTTCTCTATGGAAATAGAATCCAATCAAAACATTTTCTGACGAATACACAAAAATGTAACGGATGCTTTCAAATTACGTCACTTAGAGCCGAAGTTGTTGATCAACCAGATACAATCCGAGTTATAAGGTAATGGCGTAAATTCTCATTTTTATTTTTTTCAGAATGGCTTTAAGCATTCAGATTCAAGGACAAATTCACCATCGAGCGATCGCTTTGTTACCACCTCCAAACGAAGATCATAAGTTCCTTCAGATCTATTTCGTTGAAGATTAAACAATAGAACTAGAAAGGCGTTGTGCAATTTTTACTGCGACTAACCGTGAAATGATACACCAATTGGTCAGATTGTTCAAAACCGCATTGCATACAATGCATTCTGACGACCACAAAATAATTATCAGAGCAGACAAAAGACCAGCTGGAGGCCAAGCAAGACAATTCAATGCTCCAACTATCAATAAAGTTGTAATTGTTGGAGAAAATGTAGAATCACGCGATATTGGAACGAGTATACGAGACTCATCGATCATATGATTCACTTCAATACCCATTGATGTTCTGTCGTGGAGAGGATGACTATCACTTAAATAAAAAGTAATTACTTCTTGTTGTAAACCAGGCCCGATATAAATAAATACGCAATTGTGGTTTGGTTATATTTTATGCGATTGTTTTCATTCTTGGCGTTCAGTATTTCAGGCACAGCACATTACAGTGTAATGCAGAGATGGGCACGCCGAGGCTCTTTCAGCTCCCGCGGCTCTTTCCAAAATGTTTTTCGGGAGGCGCCAGCAAGTCGGCTCAGACGGTCGTCGCTCGCGTTCAGAGATCCGTGAATTTTTACAAAAACAATGGCACAGAAATTTGACGTCAAAGAGACGGCAAAAATGCTTCGAAGGCGCGATCTCGAGATTGCAACAACACATCATGTGTCTTGGGCTACGCACATGAAAATCAGAGCAACAACAAATTTAAAGGGAATTGCTCGCCCATTCTGTCTGGATCATGACTGCGACGCGGCGCGACGGGGGTTGTTTTTTTCTGTCTGGCTCTTTCGATATCGATAGCCGATAGGATGTTGCTTTTCCCTGTACTTATTAAATCTTCATATACACGCTAGCGATGGCATATATATATCGTACATTTTAATACTTATTTTTTTCATTCTACAACTAATAGCCTATTCCCACAGGCCACCATCCATTAATTTCCGCTATGGAATCCGTTCCGAAAATTTCCCAGTTATTCCACCATCCATCTGGGATGTTCCTAGTAGATTTCTCTTCGCTTCGATGTGCTTACGCCAAGTAAGCCTTCTATCCAGATGAACACCAAGGTATGTTACTTCGGTGGTTTGTGGAATGTTGATATTGTTCAGACATAATGGAGGGCAAGTTTGTCTGTTTAACGTGAAGGTGACATGCTTGCACTTTTGCTCATTTACATGTATCCGCCAGTCTGCTAGCCATTTTTCTAAGGCCACGAGATGAGATGATAAGTGATCCGTGGCCCTTCTTGGGCACTTGGAGCGACTTAATATGGCAGTATCATCAGCAAATGTCGAAGTTGTTGTTAGGCTGTTTGTCGGTAGATCTGCTGTGAATATGATATACAGTGTCCTTGCGGTACACCAGCTTCAATTGGATGATATTCAGAGAGAAATTCTTTGCATCGTACTGCGAAACTTTTTTGTTGTAGGTATGACTCCAATATTCCATGGATGTTCTGTGGAAGTAATATTTTGATTTTGTGGATTAAGCCATCTAACCAAACGCGGTCGAAAGCCTGGGCGACATCCAGAAAAACAGCGGAGCAATATTCCCGTCTTTCAAATGCATTTCGTATCTCAGAGGTTATACGGTTTACTTGTTCAATGGTTCCGTGTTTTTCGCGAAATCCAAATTGGTGAGTCGGGATGGCACCGTTGATGTGTAGGTGTTGTTTGATACGATTCAGGAGCAGCTTTTCAAATATCTTTGATAGGCAAGGCAGTAGGCTGATAGGTCTATACGATGATGACTTGGACTTGTCTTTTCCGGCTTTATGGATCATTGTGATGACTGATTTCCTCCATTCTTGAGGATAAAAGCCCCATTTCATCATGCTGTTGAATATCACAGTAAGGAAATACACTGCACAGCTCGGCAATTCTATGATCATTTTAGGAGAGATGAAATCGTGGCCCGGAGCTTTCTTTTGCTTTGAGATTTGGTCTTTAATGACCCTTGTGACTTCTCCTGATTGGAATATGATAGGCGGAGTAGCTTCGGGATTGTTGGTTGGTGGGAGCACAAAGCTATTCGTTGCTGGGTGTGGTTTGAAGACGTTTTCTAGATGGACGGCAAATGTATTTGCCTTCTCTTTGTTGCTGCGAGCCCACTCTCCTGTTTGTGTACGCAAAGGTGATTCACTCTCGATTGGTGGGCATACGCCTGATTTTGCTTTCCACAGTGGGAATCGTTTGCTAGTTGGGGAGATTTGCTCCATATAGGATATTTGAGCTCGGTTTTTTTCATCTTCTAGGGCTCTGCGTAGTAGGTGGTTGGCTATTTTTAGCCGCTCTTTCGATGCAGGTGATCTGTGTGCTTGCCACTCTCGGCGAAGCCTTCTTTTATAGCGTAGCAGCACTTCAATGTGCCTAGAAATACGACTGCTGTTGAAAAGTTTATTAGATGCTAATATTGGTGTTGAGTGTTTTGCCGCCAGTGACATTGAGGAAACCAATGCTTCGACTGACCTATCAATGTCATCTTTACAATTAATGTTTGGGCAGCTATCAATATGAGAGCTTATGTACTTCCTGTATTTGAGCCAATCTGTTTTGCTAGAAGTTAGAAAGTGTGGGCGTTCCGAAAGCTGTGGATGGTCGTAAAGGTGAAGTAGAATGGGCGAGTGATCCGATGATAGATCTGTTAAGTGATCTACATTAATCTGAGCTTGCAGCACCCTTCGTGTAACTGCAAAATCAATCAAGTCGGGTTGCTTGTTTGGATCTGTGGGCCAATATGTGGGCTTGCCCGGAGAGATAAAGTCTAGCTTGTTTCGTTGGGTTATTATAGCGTTATATAGTTGTCTTCCTTTCGGGTTGGTAAGTCTAGATCCCCAATGGGTGTGCTTGGCATTGTAGTCACCAGCAGCCATCGAGGTGAAAATAGTTTTTATTTGTTAGGTGAGTCTCTGATATGAGCATGACGTCAATGTCGTGTTGAGCGTTGAGTCACCAGCAGCCATCGAGGTGAAAATAGTTTTTATTTGTTAGGTGAGTCTCTGATATGAGCATGGCGTCAATGTCGTGTTGAGCGAGGAACTGTAAGAGCTCGCATTTGTGCTGAGAAATGCCATTTGCATTCCAGAAACATATATTTAGACAGGACATTTAAACAGATTTCTGTTTGATTAGGAGCTCCAGGAGGAGATTTTGGTTGCGCATAAGCTCCTGCATCGTTTGTTGTATTGCTACCATTGTATTTGTTATAGTTACCAGCATTGACTCAATTCCACTAGGCAATTGGGATGGATTAGCAGGGGTATGTTGGGCAGAGATTTCTGGGATCTGATTTTATGCCTGATTCTGCATTATTCCAGCTGTGGTTGGTTGAAGTGTCGGCTTAGAGACTGAGGCGTACGACCCGTTGTTGTAACTTAACGCCTGAGCAAAAGAAACTCCTGGAGTCGTAGTTGATGGTATATATGTTAAGTTTTGTCGGACGACCGGGTTTCGAGCTGCAGTTATTTGTTGGTTTAGGCGATTTTTCAATTATTTATAGCCAGGACAACCTCTATAGTTGGCAGTATGGTTTCCCCCACAGTTGCTACATTTTTTGGCAGATGGGTCCTCCTTATTTACGGGGCAGGCCTCAGTGAGATGAACATCACCACAGGCAACGCAGACTGCCCATAGAGTGCAATAGGTTTTCGTGTGTCCATATTCCTGGCAATTTTTGCATTGGACGGGTCCATTTCGTTTGTGTGGTTCCTCAACGGTGATCTACTGCACCGTAGAGTAGATATTGAAGCTTGTATATTGGGTGAACTTCATTTTTACTTATATGCATACTTTCAGGTGTCAGTTCTACTTTGAACATTGGCTGGGGAATTTTATTTCTATTTATTATGTTCATTGCCATTTTGACTTCGAAGCCCTTATCGTTAAGTCCATCTATTATCTCATTGATTGGGACTGTTGGTTCGATTCCTTTGATAACCACTTGTAATCCTTTGCTACTTTTAAGTTGGTAGGTGTAGTAATTCATTTTTTCATTTTCGAGGTATTTCGCAACTGATCGATAGTTTTGTTCGTCACTGATTTGTATTTTTGTTTCATTTATATTACCCCTTTTTATGTACGTGACATAGAATGTGTTTGCGCCAATTGTATCAGTTATTTTTTTGACCAGTTCAGCACAATTTGCCTGTCGAACATTAATAGGTGGCGGTCTTAATTTTTTGGCCTTGGGTGTTTGGGTGATCTCATCTTCATTTGGGACACTTAGTATCGCAAATCTATTGTTTGCTAGTGCCTTATGTGGCACAGTGTTCTCGGTTATTTTAGTTATTTTAGCTGCATTGTTGTTCTTCACATTTTGTGGGCTCAATTTTCTTTTGATTTTCACATAGCGATCGAGCCCAGTCTGAATTAACGCTCCGTTAGCATTTTTTGAACTTATTGGTTGGGAGAGTTGGGGCTTGTCGCAGTGGGTCGACAGTATCGGGCGCTGAGCAATTGCAGTGGTTGTTGTCGTTGTTGTGGTCGAAGACACAGTTTTGAGCGGGGGCATTGTACTAGTTGTTGTTGATATTAGCAAATCGCTGGTTAGGCAGTACGAGTCGGGGGATGGGCACTGAGCACTCCATGACCCACTTTGCAATGCAGGGGAGAGAGAGCGTGCTCTCTCCTTGTTCACTTGCAGTGATGCAGTTTTTGTTGGTACTGCTGCCTTTGGCGAGCGTATAGAGAAGTACGCGTTGTTTTTTGCTTGCGAGAGCCGACGCTCGTCTTGTTGTTGTTGCCGGGCTTGGCTCATTTTGGCTTTGGTTACAGTGCTTGTGCTCTTTACCGAGCTGGTGCTCTTAAACGTTGACATTTGTTCTTTTCTATTATTTCTATTAGTCTTTATTACTCGATTGGATGGTATTCATGGGCAGCACGATCACTAGTACCCATGCCTACCCCGAGCGCTTTTTCGCGAATTAATTTATGATTAATCGCGATTAATTGATTTAATTGATTTACACCGCGGAGCGATACAAAAATACGTCTGTAGTAAACATGTAAACAATGGCAGACAGAAAAATGGTAAAAACAACAACAAAATTGACTCAGGCAGAAAAACTCGGTTTGTGGACTGGGAATTCTTTTATGAATGCTCTGCAAAACTCATGCGGTATATTACACACGCTGTTTGCTGACAGCCTTCCGACTGTTCTGTACTCAGAAAAAGAACCCAAAGTATACAATGCTATGGCTACACAAAACTTTCCTTAAAAAACGCCTCGTTCTTTTCGGGTACATCTTTCTCCCAAAATGTCGCAAGCTGAAAATAGGTTTGTATTTAAAACATTGATTGGATTTAATAGAAGCAGTCAATATTGGCCACATTATTATCATCATCCATGTCCAGCAACATGATTAGATTGTTGTTGCATTTCAGGGTAATCGAT